GTACTTTTCTATTGAATAATTTTGTTTTCAGAAGCACTTGTGGCTTCATACTTTTTCATGTCTACTAACTCAAGTTAGTAGATTGCCAACCAAGTTTCTGTCTTAATATATATACCTAAGGAAGATGGTGAATGAGGTAGAGGGCTGGGTGAAGGTGTGTGTGTTTGTGTTGTGCAGTTGCGTGTGCGTGTGTGTGTGTGTGTGTGTCTGTGTTTGTAGGTGTGGGTACACAAACGAGAGGTGTGTGGGGAGCTGTCACTGCAGTGGAACCTGGACTCGAAACAGCAGGGAAGGAAGGAGATGGGGACAGAAAAGTCAGCATTGCAACCAGTGGGTCCCCTTCCCTCCTTTCTGCTGAGATGGGAGAGGAAGGATACAAAATGGGTGGAAGGGAAGAGAAGTGCTAGGTTGATATCTCAAACTTTTTGAAATGTGAGGGTTCAATGTTGTATTCTGTTTTTGCATATATATATATATTTAAATTTATTTATATTTTTGGCTGCGTTGGGTCTTCGTTGCTGAGTGTGGGCCTTTCTCTAGTTGCGGCAAGCAGGGTCTTCTCTTGTTGCAGAGCATGGGCTCTAGGCGCGCACGCTCTAGGCGCATGCCGCGTAGTTGCAGCACGCAGGCTCAGTAGTCGTGGCACACGGACTTAGTTGCTCCGTGGCATGTGGGATCTTCCTGGACCAGGGATTGAGCCCGTGTCTGCTGCATTGGCAGGCGGATTCCTAACCACTGTGCCACCAGGGAAGTCCAAGCATATATTTTTAAATGTCCATAATAAAAAGTTTTTCTTAAAAAAAGGGGGAGATTGGGGCTTCCTGCAGGAGGCACCCCTGTGCTGGGTCTTCAGGATCACCAGGTGTAAGGGGAAGGGAGGGCCTTGGAGAAGGGATTTCAGGCAAGAGCGAGCCTGTTGGGTGAGGTGGGCAACACCAACAAGTGAGAAGCATCTCTCTCAAAGGGTCAACCTGAGCAGAGCATGTGAGGGCACAAGAGCTTGGCCGTGGTGCCTTCAGTAATATCTCGGAAGCCCCTGGATGTTCAGCTCTGACTCACAGGCCTGGGTTGGAATCCTGGCTTTACCATCTTCAGGACCAAATCGGTTTGAGTTTTGATTTCTTCATCTGAGGAATGGGATAATACCCTGTCCAAAGAATTCTTACGAGGAATAAATGGATGTCTAATGCGAGCTACATTTACCGAGTGCTCCACATGCAGGGCACAGTACTGAGCCTTCACAACAACTCTGCTAGGTAGACACCATCACCCTCGTTTTACAGGTGAAGACACTGCAGCCAGTCCACCAGCGCTGAGGCAGTGGGACTGCAGAGCCCAGCTCAGGGCCACTCCCTTACTGCCCAGTGGTCGCTCTGCCTCTCGGTTAAGCCTGGGCTCTGTAAATGTTGACAGATTTTCATCCTTTGGAGATGACATGCAATGCCCAAACACAGTCCGATGGTATATAAAATCCTGTTGTGCATCTTAAATCGGAAGACTGTATTTCTTTGGCTGTGCCCCCGGGCATTCGGGATCTTAGTTCCCAGACCAGGGATCCAACTTGCGCCCCCTGTGGTGGAAGCACGGAGTCTTAACCACTGGATCACCAGGGAAGTCCCGGAAGACAACTTTTTACATCACCTGGTCCTGCTCTTTGGTTTGAGCAAGTGTCTGTTTTAAGATGATTTCTAGGGCAAAGGCCTACTTTTTAAGGTCAGTCCTGGATCAGAGCATCATGGTGTCCCATGGGAGCCCACTTTGGTATTTTCGGCTCCAGTGGTTTCTGTTTAGGCTTCCCCTTGTTTTCTCTGTGGGCAGGCAAGCCCGCACGTGTGCACCAGTCAGCCCCCCAGGTCACCCCCACTGCTCCCAACGGGCTGTTCTATATTTGGAGGTATTTGTGACACACTCCTTTTTTCTCTTGACTTAAAACTCTAGAATATGTTTTCCATTTTACAGTAATAATTACTATTCAGAGAAAAAATGTTACAAAACCTTTTTTGAGTTTGTGTTAGGCACTCTGCTAAAAACTCTATAGATTATCTGCTTTAATCCTCACAGCAACGGTAGAGTATTTACAGGTGATACTTCGATGTGAGTGATGGAGAAACTGAGGCGCAGAGCCACCAGGTCACTGCTGAACTATGCAGCCTCCCGTCCTGGAATAGGGAGGGCCAGCCCAGCCTCGACACTGTCTCCGACTCTCAGTGTCCATCTGTCCCAGAACACTTGCCCCTTTCCCACTCAGACACCTCCTGCCAACCTTTCTGCATCCTGCAGCTGCACTCCAGTTTTCTTGTTTCCAGTTTCTTGTTACATAAGCAAACTCTTTTGCATGCGTTCCCGTTGAATTTAACTTATTTTTGAGTGACTGTTCTTATTCCTGGGATTCTGAGTGTTAGCAGCCCCAGCTGTTGAAGGAGTGCCTTCCTACATGATGAAACATTCCTGACTCTTCCATTTGTGCCCTCAATCTCCCTCATAAATGGCATGAACGCAGCCCATCCCCGTGTGGCTGTGCTCTCCCAGTGGCCCCACTCTCTCCACCATACTTTGAGGCTATCAGTAAAAACAGGATGTGGAACGGAGCCTGTCCCTATTTCCTCTGGTATCTTACTATCCCAGGCTGTTGGGACTGGCTTACAGGACGTCACAGCAGTCCTTTCAAATAAAATCATCCTATTAATTATATGACACTCGGAGAGGGCTAGGGCGAAGCCAGCTGTTTCTATTTTCAATGTAACAATTTTTTCCTACTTGTAATGGAGCCAGCAAAACAGAAGTTTACAGGGAAGTATTTACATATTTTGCTTAGTACCTAGAAGTGAAAAAACCAGAGACTTCACACAGTGCTTAATATAAAAAGAAAGAACAAGAAAAATATAATTTACTTAAAGGCGAGGTAAATGCTTTTTGAAAACCTAACAGAAGATGTATGGAAGAAAGTAAGTGAATCTATACTGTCTCCTTTGTACCCCTATCCTGCTACACACACACACACACACACACACACACACACACACACACACACACA